TGGCTCACACTGGTTTTTCCAGCTCTCACAGGTGACGGTTCCTGCATACAAAAGAAATGGTGCCCACTGGTTTTAAACTTCCCCAAGTGTAAATTCAACAATAATAATAAATATAATTTAGAAAAGGGTTTCTTTTACTAAGCCATCAAATAAAAGCATGGAAACAGTGTGTATCACATGGTTATAAAAAACAGGCAAATGCAGAGACTTGCATTTAAATAAAGTGTCTCTTGTCTTAATCATATGTGACCCGGTTGTGGTTACGTTCACCGTCAGTATGCAAAGGCCCATTTTGAGGCAGGAAAAACCCTGCAGATGTCCGTTTAGATTAAAATGTGGGGAATTTGGAGGCCACAATAACACCTTGAAGTCTTTTTGAATTTTTATTTTTTTGGAAACCACAATGTTTTTTTCCCATGTGGAAGCGTACGTCGTGCCATGGATCATTACGCTTCTTGTGCTGGCTTTCCTTCTTCCCATAATGCAAACTGCTGTGATGCGCAGTCACCTGGTCACCCACATGATGTCAAAGAATCTCTAGATGGACACAGTCAAACATTCAGGTCTCTCACATGCCCAGTGTAGGTCGTTTGGTCGTGTAATTAAAAACTCTGTGTGTGCTAATATGCGCTGTGACACCAGCACTGAGGGTTTCACTGTGTGGTGCTGCTTCTGTGGGATTGTACTGTCCATGCATACTCATGAGCTTTGGGTGTCCATGACCCTTGGCACCGGTTCACCGGTTGTCTTTTCTTGGACCTCTACACTCAGAAAGCTAAAGGTGCCAACTGGAACCAAAAGTGGTTCTTTAGACTGATGCCATAGAACCTTTTAAACAAAGGTTCTTTGAAGAACCATTTCTTTCAGTGGTTCGTTGAAGAACCTTTAAAGGCACCCCCAAAGAACCATCAAGAAAAGGTTCTTTGTGGAGCCTTTAATGGTTTTTAAAGAACCTTTTTTCAAAAGGTTCTTTAAAAACCATTTTAAAGAACCTTTTTTGTTTGGTTCTTTAAAGAACCATTTTAAATCTTTCAAAATAAAATGTATCATAAATTGGATATGAGTAGGGTAAAATAAATACGAGCACAGCATAGACATATATTAATGGTTTCGTAGTTACCAAAACACAAAAATGCATTTTAACCCTCAGCACAACATCA